TGGAGGAGAGGCACTGGGCTCATCTGCGAGCCTGAGTAGAACAGCAGGGGACAGGAGAGCTGCGACGCTGGAGAGGCTCCAAAGAGGCTGTTTCCTTGCTTAGCCACGGGTGGAAGTCACATCCACTGAACTGTCACCTGGCAGGGTGAGTGGGGTCTGCCGGAGAAGGTTCTGGAGTGGGAGGCTTCCTCCTTCCATTCCGAGCCTCCTCATTGCCCTGAGGAGTGCAGCCCCCAGTGTGTGTGGCTCCTGGCCAGTTCCTCAGTGGTCCTTTTCTGGGCTCAGCCTCTACTGCCCTTATCTGGACACTGGGGACTAAGAATATTCTCTCTGACATTCCCAGGCCAGGACGACACTTCCTGTAGACTGAGTGCTCTGATTCTTTGTGGCGTCTGACATGCTTTTTCTGTTAAAAACATAAAACCTACGAATGATGCTTTGGATATTCTGTTGTTTTCCTTTGCAGCACCCTATAATCCTTTGCAGGAGTTTTACACTTGGCCGTGTTTCTCCCCTTCACTCGTTACTCTGTGACCCCTGGGAGGGTCAGCCTAGTCATTCCAGTTGCGTTCCCTATGCTTACCATGGTCTTTGGCCAAGAGTAGTTACTGAGCAAATGATTGCTAGCTGACTAACAGTAATCCAGATTACTGTGGAACTTGATTTCTGTATCTCTCCCGTATCTTGAGCATATAGGAGGTGTCTAGTCAACACTTAATCGATTCAGATTTTTCTCGTGAACTAAAAATCTTTTGTAGCGAGGAAGGTGCCCTTTGCTGCTGTCCCCTGAGAAGTGAGCTAGTCAGGAAATGGAGACACCAAGTCTTACGATGGGTCTAGCTTTCTTTCTGTTTCTTTCTACTCAAAATATCTTTCCATGCCTGGCCTCCTTCTTCCTCCTCAATATTTATTCTTATTCTTGCCTCTCATCACCCCTTGATACCCCAAGATGGTCTTGGAAACCTCCCAGATATCTTAGACCTCCCATGTAAGTTCTTCTTTCATGTCTCCCTACCTTTATTTTTTCTCCCTTTTTCTTCATCCCTGAACTCTTTTTTCTCCTCTCTCTGAGCTCAGTGTTCCCTTTGCTCAGTCAGAGGTCAATTCTCAAATGCTCTGTTCATCTTATCTGACACCTTCATCAGCTTTGCACCCCTTTTTGCAACTCTCTCAGGGATAATATCATAAAAGCCACTCCAAACACATTCCATATACCAGCTCCACCAACAGCCCCATCATATTTTTTCCTTCCTTTTTAGCAATCTGCACCCTTTCTATTTCCCCTGCCCCTATTCTTATACCTTCCTAGCCTGCAAGGTAAGGTCGATACATAGATGCAAAAGATTGCAGAATAGGCAACAATGTCACCTGTACTTTTTACTGGTACTGTGTGTCACAAGTGTGTCTCCTCAAACTGAAGACAGGACTTTTAAAATTTACTGTAATTCTGACTTTAAGAAATTAGAATGAGCTTTAGGTTCTGTCTTGTATTCTGGTACTACACTAGAGGTGTCCTTTCCCGTGTGTCCACGTCTTGCTGATTGTATTTTCTATGTGTGTGTTTTGCTTATTCTTGAGCCCCATCAGAATGGTCTCCAATCAAATTGACTTCAGAGGTTGAGTTCAAGCAGAGATCAGACAGCCATTCAATCAGGGAAGATATGGATGGAATTCAGACATCGGGGGAGGTATTTGATAAAATGGCTTCTAAACATCTCTTTTAAAACCTACGATTCTCCTTAAACTGATCATCAGAGTGTAGGAGTTTTGCCTTCTCTTTTGTGTTTTCCACTATACTAAAGGCCATTTACCCCATGGAGGAGGAGCTTAACTCTTGGGCTTACCTGTGATAGTAAAAGAAATAGTGCTGTTCAAGGGAAAGAGAGGAAAAGGCCGCAAGCATACTTTGGATTTATCTGATCATCTAACGTGTCAGACCACGAGATCCCTCAGCAGGAGTTCCAATGCTCCGTGTGAGAACGTCACACGCTTCTTTTGTTTAGTTTCTCCTTTCGGATCCCAGGTTGTTCATAGACTCAAATAGTCCAAGAGCTAGAAGGATCCCCAAAGGTTATTTCAATGCAGGCAGCCTCCAGGCCTGGCCCTCCATTTGACCAAAGAACGTCCAGTGACAGAGCTGTCACAGCCTTCTCTAGACACAAAGTGACTTTTCCAAATTTGGACCAAGCTACAAGAATATTTTTCTTACAGTGGATCAAAAATATTTCCCTTTGACGTGTCTCTCTATTAGTTTCATTCTATTTCCTGAAGCTGGGAAGAGCAAATCCCCCTTTTCTAACTGAGAGTTCTTTTAGTATTTGAAGACAGCAATTACAGAGTTACATTTTTATCTGCCTAAATATTTCCAGTTCTTCAAATTCCTCATGACATGGTTTCGAGTCGCTTCTGTATCTTGGTTGTCCTATTGTCTGGGTCCTGCATTTTTCCTGGTGTGGGGCGCAGAGCAGGACGGAATGCTCTGGCCAATCCAAAAGGGGAACAAGACTCTCCTGCTGTCACCACTCATTTTCGCGTTTCTCCACGCATGGCCCCCTGTCCCTCACATGCTCCAGACCCTCTGATACTTCCTCCTGTAGAAGTAATTCTGGATTTTGATCCCATCTTTCACAGTGGGCCTGTCACTAAAGGTTCTCAGTTTTAGATCTATTTGCATGAAAAGGAATCTTTTTGTTTTTGCAGCTTTTCTTGAATTCTCTAAATTCTTTTTGCTTTTTTTTTTCTTGGCTTGAATTTATAACAGGGTTTAATTATCTTGAGGGCAGTTTAACCCTTTCGTATTCAGCCCAAGGCCCAACATAGGTCTAATAAGTATTTACTGAGTTCACGGTTCATAGCAAGATCATCAATTGACATCCCTTCTTCTCTTTTGTCATCATCATCATCATCATCATCATCATTAAGTGGCACGCAGTTTCTTTTGCTTAAAGTTATGGCTGTCTTTTGTCTTTATTCCTATAGTGCCAATGTTAGTTATGAAGAAAGAGCACATAAAGTAGCTGCAACAGAATCAGAGGGTCGTGGAACCCAGCATCATTTCTAGTGCACTAGCAAGTGGAGCTAAGATCAGAACCCAGGTTTCCTGACATCCTCCTGCCCCGGATGTCTAGACTATGTCCTGTCTCTGAAGAAACGTGGGAGTGACACTCACTAATCATCCTTAGTACAGGACAATGAGCCACACCATTAAGAAGCATTGATTGGCTCTCCCTCTGTGAGAACAGTATGCTGGGTATGATACAGAGAGACCCAGATGCAGTCTGCAGGAGAAAACTGGTCATTATGTCAAACATGGAGGAAATACGCATGGGCCTGGTGAGATGGTCTCTATTGACCAGGGCAGGCAGGGGAATCCAAACAAGGAAACCTTCCAGAATGACAACTGTGCTCTAGCACTGAACTGTAGGTTGGCACGTGGTTTGTGACATATTATTTCATTTTGCCATCATACCAGTTGTGAGATCTTTATTGTGAAACTAACTTAACTCCATTTTGTGGATAAAGAAACTGAGGCAAGAGTTGTGAATTGAACATAAAACATGTAGTAGAGATAGGTGTCAAGTCTAGATGTGTTGAAGCCTAGAGCTGGTTTTGCCACGTCACATTGTCTCATCGACTCTTCCAGCAGTTCTGGCAAGGGAGCTCTTAATTTCAGCAAAACAAATTTCAGACCATTTTCCACTGGCCTCTATTAAATTCCACGACCTTTCTGATGTTGGTGGCAGCTCTGTACTGAAACATATGTGAAGAAGGAACGTGGATTAAAATAATAAAGCTTTGGTTGGGCATGGTGGCTCACACCTGTTAATCCCAGCACTTTGGGAGGCTGAGGCAGGCAGAGCATGAGGTCAGAAATTCGACCAGCCTGGCCAACATGGCCCCATCTCTACTAAAAATACAAAAAATTAGCTGGGCATGCTGGTGGGTGCCTGTAATCCCAGCTACTCAGGAGGCTGAGGCAGGAGAATCTCTTGAACCCAGGAGGCAGAGGTTGCAGTGAGCCAAGATGGCGCCACTGCACTCCAGCCCAGGTGACAGTGCGAGACTCTGTCTCAAATAATAATAACAACAACAATAAAGCTTCATTTATTAAAAACCATAACTACTTCGTGAGCTGTTTCTCCATAAGAAACATAGGTACTACAGGAATAAAGACAAAAAATGAAACAATAATAACCATAAGCAAAAGAAGCTGTGTGACACTGAAATGAGGAGAAGAAGGATGATAACAACACCTGCCGGGGTGGGTTAGTGCAAACGAGAGTGTGTTCCTCTGGAAAAAGATACTATTTGGACATACAGTCTGTTTTCACTAAGGTGGGGAGCAGAGTGTGTCCTGGGCTTTAGAGGCACCAAGAGACCAAGTTTCCACGGTGGCAGGAGAATCCAGGAGACTGGACCATCATGTCTTTAACTCAGAGAGTGGAGACCACACCTTGTCTCCCAAAACCACCTTATGTGAACATCTGACTTTACGATACATTGTGATACACGAGTTCCCATGCAGAATGTAAGCCAAGCAGGCTTATTTCTTATACCACACTCACCTGGACTCAGAGACCTCCAGGCACTGAGGACTCTGTCTCCCCAAAGCGTTTCCCTGATAAATTACAGAGTACCTCAACCCTGCAACTCACACAGAGGCTGTTCTTCATGGCTAGAGACAGACCCCATGCCCTCTGGGGCATATCCCTGAGTGTGAACACTCTTTTCTCACCCTCCTCCCACCCGGGCACCGTCCCAACTGGGCACTGCCTTGCCATGCTCCACATCTCCCACAAGGGGGAGCCCCCGGAGGGCAGCTGGGGCTGCGGAATTTTGGAAGCACAGAAGTTTTCTCCTCCTGTCCTGTAACTGGTTTTCACTCACTCAACTGAGAGATTTCTTTGTTGCAATGATGGGGTCTAACATAATACTTCTGGAGGCTGCAGGCGAGAAACACAGCTGATATCATCTTTTATTGTGTGTTGTTATTTGCCTAGCATTATAAATTAAGGAGGAAAAGTAACAAAGAGCTCGAAGACATGCACAGCTCCCAGGCCCTGGGTGGAGGCTGGCAGCATCGGACAGACAGAATCAAGACATCTGAGGGGCAACCAGGAAGTGCGTGTGGCTGCAGAGCACACAGGTAGGTACCTGCAAGAGGACAGCCGTGACGGGGGGAGGAGTGGATGGAGCAGTCACAGAAGGTGGTCATCAGAGATTAAAGGGGAAAGGCCGTGCAGAGGAGTTGGGAGATGGAGGGAGAGAGGAGGGAGGCATCCCAAAGGAGTGCAAAAGAAAAAAAAAAAAAAATGTTTGCAGGGTGTGATGCAAAAGGCTGACCACGGAGCGGGAGAGGGAGAGTTTGGAAAGTGAATCAGAGGCATAAGAGGGTTTGAAGTTGGTTCCAACTCGGCCACCCCAGAAACTTCACAAGGCATGAGAGGATGGGAGAGTGACACTGAAGGCTCAGTTGCATAAGAAAATTCCGAGTGAGTAGGTGTGCCAGGAAGTCAATCAAATCATTCGGTTTGTGTGTCGTATAGCCACACCTACTCCGGACTTTGACCCACACTAGAAGGAATTCTGGTCTGAGGGTGTTTTCAGGTCCTCTCCACTCAGAACTTATGTTTCACGCTTTCCCTTTCTTCCTTCGGATCTTCCACCGTCGCTCTAGGTAATGGATTAGGAGTCAGAAATTCCACATTCCAGTCCAGGCTTTTCCACTTATTGGCGAGATAGGCTTAAGAAAGGAAATATCTGCATTTCCTTTTCCTTTGTCTATAAAAGGAAGATAATAATATATTACTTATGAGCCCTATGGAGTTTTTCTGAGGGTTGAGTAAGTAAGATAGTGTGAACAAATGCTCTTAATAGATTACAATTACTAGTTAAATAAAAGATGGCATGAATAATATTAATTAGTTAATATATTCTTCCTATTCTAAACAGGGGGTTTGCCTACTGAGCTTCACACACACACCTATCTGTATACACATATATATGTGAAGAATAAGATAATGTATAACATATATTTTATAAAGATATATTAGCCTTAACCTACTATCTGTGAAGAAATTTAAATATATGACTCTATTTCCACAGCACATGTTAGAGTAACCTCTTTGGCAGACAAATAGGAATCTTTGTGTTCTGAACCTTTTAGCCACCATCAGATGTTATTTTCCCTGATCTTGGCTACATTTTTGTATTTCTCAAACATGCAAATAATGATTGATGGTGTCTGCTTGGCTACCTGGATGAGTGATTCGTCTGTGTCCTGGACACTGCTGCCGGAACAAATGTCACACTGTCTCAGGCACATGATCAGACTAAATATGCTTGGAAGAAGCAAATAAGAGACTCTGTTAATCAGTTAATCATCCCACTGCTATATTCCCTGCCTGAAATGTTTGTGTGTGTGTGTGTGTGTGTGTGTGTGTGTGTGTTTTCTGGGTCGTTTATTACTTAACTCATTGAACCATCTTAGATGGAAAATTGGATTCTGCACACGGGGTCAGGCTGGTTGAGTCTGCCTGTGAAGACTGAAGTTGGCTTTGATGCCTGTAGATGCACTCACCCTTCCCTTGGGTTCCAGAGGCAACGTGGTGTATGGGGAAGGCAATGTAGATGGTGGGAAAATCACCTGACTTCTCTTGTTCATCTGTCAGATGAGACTGTTACCATCCTTTCTTCGTGCATCCAAATGTAGATGTCAGGAGCACATGAGATTATACTGTGCACACCAACAGTTTGTAACTCTCCAAGTGCAGTATAATTATAAGGTTTTATTGCCATTATTCTGCTGCATGTTTCTTACATGATTTACCCATATTTCACAATTGAAATTATTTTATTTATTTAAATTATTTGAAAAGCTGCCTTTCCAGAGCTGTTAATGTGTTCTCTTACTTTTTTTCATCTCCACCAATCAACTGATAAATCAAATATTTATAGAAATGCTAAATTTGTCATATAACTACTCATTGCCAAAAAGTTATATCCTATCTAAATCACACGAATAGATGCACAATGTATACATAGGCTATTTGTATTTTTCTAACCATACCAAATACATATATACATCCCTTTTTTCAAGCATGTGCCTATCCCCCTTTTATTAAAAATATATGCAAATATGTATTTGAGTGAGAAACATATACCTACATCCACAAACACAGCATCTGCACTTAGATAGCAGAGTTAATGAGGAAGAGGAACAAGGGCATCACTCTATCAGTATTGCAGCTATTTCAGAGTCCAGAAATGACCACAGTACACAATTCATGTGGTTAAAAAAATCATGGATCAATTTCTGCCCTGTTCCTAGTAATGAATATCAATATCTTGCCTCTTCTAGACAGACTGTCAGCAGCTTCAGATATTTTTAAATGAGTTTTTAAAAATAAATTTGTGAAGTCAATTATTTTGAATCTCATCTGAAGCAATTAAAAAACATCCTGACATTTAAGGTGATATTTTTTCCCAAGTAAAATAATTATAAATAATACTAATTATGAGCAAATCATTCAGTTACTCTCAGTCTGGTTCAACCTTTAGGTTAATAAACCAATCCATTAAAATTCATCTTGCTCAAAGGACCAATTTGTTAAAAAATGTAGCGACCTTTCACCACAAGTATGATTGATACTTTCTTTAACAATAATCAGAGCTGTCTTTCCCAGAAGAGAGTATGGTCAAGTGATAGGTATAGAAAACTAGGGTTCTTTTATGCCTTTCTTGGTAATACTTCTCAGATAGGTGCAAAATGATATTGATGATGATGAAGATGGTGGTGATAATGTACAAAATTAAAACTCTAATTTTAAAGAGAGTACCTTAAAAAGATGTTTGAAAGCCTCAGGACAGCCGATCACAAAACCCAACTATATTACTCTTCATGCTAAAACCAGAATTTAGATATTTCCCTCTGCTACTAGTGTTTCATTCTCACCAAAGGTGTAGGACAGAGATTTGCAAATGTGTCCCATGGGCCAAATGTCATCCACTACATGTTATAAAACAAGTTTTATTGGAACAAAGCCCATCCGTTATTAGATATTGTCTTTGGATGCTGTTCTACTGCAGAGGCAGAATGGAGTTGTTACAACAGAGACCACATGGTCCACAAATCTTAAAATGCTATTATCATTCTCTTACAAAAAAAAAAAAAAATTGCCAACCCCTGTGTTAGGCAATGAAAAAAAAAAACAAACTCAAGATTGAGTTTACATCAGTAGTTAATATTTGAACAGCACTTTAGAGTTTATAAAGTCTGATCATGTTATGTCGTAACAGGTATTATTACCTTCACTTAACTGATGAAGAAATCGCCCACGTTTCCATAGTCATTCAACCGTAAAGTGGCGTAGAAAGGATTTGACCTCTAAAGATGGAAGAATGCTGCCCCAATGGTAGCTTTCAAGAAGCAGGAATGGAGCTAGCTCTCAAACTGTAGTAATGGCTACCTGTCTCTTTTATACACCTAGATGTGACCATTGCCCAAAGACAGTGGAGAAAACAAAACTCTTAACATTCTTTTCTCTCATTATCTGACCCTGGCTGGGGCGATTTTAGCCTTGTCTGCCTCTACATCCTTACTCATATAACCAGTTATACTAATAAACAGAAAGGAGAGCAAAGTGGTTTGCAGTCAAAGCTAAACTACATTGCATCACCTCTCGCTTATCCATACTGACAGGAATGTATCCATGCTGAAATTGGCACTGTGGCATGAATATTCCAAAACAGCAGATAACAGAAAAGTCTTTGTTTTTGGAATATCTTCTTTAAAAAGTTTGCATTTTGAAACAGTAAATCCTTTCTTAGTTATGTTTCTTTTTTATTCAAGTTAATATCAAAATTATATTTTCCCTTCTGAGCTTAGAACATCTATTAGCAAAATAGGCCTTAAAGTTCTAGATATCAGGAGGAAGGAAGCCTGGAATGAAAACTCTGCCTTTAAGATTCATAGACATAAAGCAGCAATTGTTTGCTGGGACCAAAACTTTTTCTTAATCTCGTGTTTTCTTGGAAAAGGGTGAGGGATAAAATGAAACAAATAATAATAAGAAATTTCTACATTGCTTTCCTGAAGATTCCAAGCCAAAGATAAAGATTTAAACAATTGAACTAATTCAGTATTTCATTCGACCAATCTTTATTTTGAGTGTCCACTGTGCAGGCACTGCTACGACTTAAAGTATCACAGTGACTAAGAAAATTGATTAGAGAAACAAACATGTGTGGACGTGTTGTTAGAATAAACAATGGGATGGGAGTACAGATAAAATCTTAAGTATGTAGATTCCTAATGGAGAAGTCATTCTTCCTTCGACAATCACAGAGGATATTATGGAGGAAGTGGCATTTTGTGAGACTTGAAGAATACACAGGTATTGGACATTTGAGAACGGGAAGGTGTGGCATTCTAGGGGGCAACTGAGGGAACAGAAGCATCAGAGCAAAGTGTAGGGATTAGATGTGTTCAGAAAATTGTTCGGTGCTTGTGGAACATATGGTTATGTGGGAATAGAAGAATATGAGAGAGGTGAAAGAGGATGAAACCAGATTCTGGAGGGCCTTGGATTGTAAGTTAAGAAGTTTGGTCTTTATTCTGTAGATAGTGAGAGCCATTGATTCTTTGTGTGCAGGAGAATTACATGGTCACACCTTTGACTGGGAGTAGAGTGTGACCGATATTGGATAAGAAGTTGGAGGCAGGTCACTAGAAGAGGTAAAAAAGGTACCCCTCCACCTTGCACTTCAATTGCAAGACTGCCTCTCTGTCACGACCCTGACTGTTGTAGGTTACAGCACTGGCTGAGGACTTTCCGAGGGCATTTATTTAATGACATGCCAATGGCATTTACTCATAAAACCAAAAGCCATTGGGGCCAGAAATAGGGGTTTTGGTTACTTCCCCAGACAGGATGCAGTTTGGGTGATTATACATGTGATTCATCGAGGTCGGGAAGCAAATCCTCTACAAACAAACAGCCCTCCCCTCCAAGCCCAGTGACTCATGGCTTCTTCAGTTTGATCTGTGGAAAGCTCTTGAATCCAGGCAAAATATGAGGTATAAGGTTATATCACAAATCTTTAGCATTCATCATGACAAGAGAAACATATTTATTCATTCTTTCA